CCTCGCGCCGCGCGGGGCCGGGTGGTGCGCAGCAACCCTGGCGGAATGTCTCCCTCTAGTGGCCGCCGCTCTCGTTACACCCAGAAGCAGCTCCCGCCGGGGCGCTGGGTAGCACAGGGTTTTCTTTCAGGGGCTTGGACACGTGGTGGGACTGGATGGATGGTGTGAGGGCTGCGCACCTGTGTGAATGCACGAAACCCGCTGGATTGTGCGCCTTAAAGGAATGCTTTACGTTTCGAACGTGTGTCTCCGCTTTTAAAAAGGAACCCCTGTGGAAGGATTCAACGTGCCCGGAAAGTGAAAACACAACTGGCGCGGTCTTCCGTGAAATTACCTGACACGCGGCCAGGGTGCCCTCTTCTCCCCTGCGAGCTGGGGGCGTGGCAGTCCCACCCAGGGGCCAGCAGCCTTAAAAGTGGAAACGGCTTCTCTCCTGTGCATGTTTCTGAGCCGTGGCTACAGTCCCCACTAAGCGCCATCTCCCCAAGCTTCGTTTCTCGGATATTCTAAGGCCATTTCCGCCTAAAAAGAGCTTCCAGCGGTGGTGACGCGGACCTGAGTGTGCAGCGGTCACCGTCGCTCCTGTTCACCGTCGTGGAGTCCGTGGGTGACACCGGGACGCTGTCTCCGAAGGGGAGGCTGAGAAACGTCCGTGCTCCCGGGGGCCAGGCGGGTGCCCGGCACGCCCCTCGAGGTCACACTCCCCTGAAGCGCTCCGGCCGCCGCACGGAGGCCCTGATGGCCCATCACGCACCCGCTGCAGCGTCTCCCTGGAGCTCTCGGGGATGGATCACTGCAATTACTCTGTAAAGGTCTTTGTCACTGGATGCAAAACACCCAGAAAGAGTAATTGTAATCATTTAGAACTCAAGCATTAATTTTCCAGCTGAGATGCAGCCTCAGCCACACACAGCCACAGGTGTGGGGGAGCAGGAAACAAAGCCCCCTGAGCACAGCCCATGTGTAGGGGGGCGGGGGGCTGGGGATGAGGCACTGACAGGGGCTCTCCTGGTCCCAAGGACACACGAGACCCCTCGACCCTTAGGGCTGCCACTGCCACGCCTCGCCCGTAAGCCTCAGGGACACGCCAGCACGGGCCACGCAGGGAGGCCCTGCTGCCCAGCTGCAGCCACAGAGGGGGGAGCCCCCCACCTCCGTCCCCATCTGCAGAGCTGCACACAGGCCACGTCGGCAGCTGGAGGGCCACATGTGCCCGAGTGCCAGGGCCGGCTGGGCAGCCAGCGCTGCAGTTCAGCTCCCCTCTGCCCGGCCTGCTTCCTCTCTCCTCTCCCTCCCCTCCCTCCCCCTCTCCCCTCCCCTCCCTCCCTCTCCCCTCCCTCCCTCCCTCCCCTCTCCCTCCCTCCTCCCTCCCCCTCCCTCCCTCCCTCCCCCTCCCTCCTCCCCCTCCCCTCCCCCTCTCCCTCCCCCTCTCCCTCCCTCCCCTCCCCCTCCCTCCCTCCCTCCCTCCCTCCCCCTCCCCTCCCCTCCTCCCTTCCCTCCCCTCCCCCTCCCTCCCTCCCCCTCCCCCTCCCTCCCTCCGCACTTGGACCTCAACGCACCTCACACGCTACATCAATCCCAGCTCACCCAGTCTGCAGCGCATGGAGGCCGTCCTGACAATGTGCCTGAGACATCAGCCTCTCCGCTGCCCAGGGCTCTGCCACCGGAACCCCCAGAACTTTGATCTCGACAGCCCCGATGCCTGTGTTCTCTTCTCCTCGTGCCGAAACCCCACACACGGTCTCCTTCTCCCGGTGGGGTGGAGAGGCAGGTGCCGCCTCGCTGCTGCTCTGCAGCAGAACTGGAGAAAGCGGGCACCCGCGAGCTCTGGAGACAAGGGGGCTGAAAGGAAGAAAACCCCAGAGAGAGAAGAGCTGGCTCTGGGTCTCCTGCCATCAGCGGCCTTTCCCTCCCCAAGGCACTTTGTGGGTGTGGGCAGAGCCTGAGCCTGAGCTTGTCAAAGATGCAGGGGCTTGGCCACGGCGAAGACAAGCCTCTCTGTGGGCTGTGACAGACCGGAGACAAAGGCTTTCCTCCCGGGACATTTGCATGGTGCTAGGGAGGCCTGCAGGGCTTGGGGCTGTGCCCGGGCTTGCAAGACGGTGCGCCATCCCCTGCCGTTGGAGAGGAGGGTAAACAACTTCCCACCAGCAGGAAGGGCCTGCCCCAGCGCCCAGGCAGCCTCACTCTCGAGATGCCGGAAGCCAGGAGGACGGCGCCACACCTGACTCCAGCACAGCCCTGGCAGAGCTGGTTGCCGACTCGAGGGGAGGCCATCAGCCCTGTGCCCTGTGTGGCTGCCGAAGGAAGACAGGTGTTCTGAAGGCGTTTTGTGGAGGTTCAGGGACCGCACTGGGCCTCACGGGCCTGCGCAGGAGGGAGCCTGGGGGTGAGTCCCGAGACTCGCTGCGGGAACAGTGCCCGGGGGAAGTCGAGAAGGCTCTCTGGGGCGCTGCAGAATGGTCCCTCGAGGCTTATACAACTGTTTGGGGAGGGCGGCAGCGGGAGAACTTGCAGGAGCCGCTGAGCCAGGAAAAGCAGGCTTCTGTGACAGCTGGGCTGACCTGGGCTGATCAGAGGGACTGAGGTCACCTCCTTTTGTCAGGAAAAGGATTCAAGCTCCAGAAAAAAACAATAGAGTACCACCTCTGCAAGGCAGACTAGGTGGTACGCACGTCACCGTGTGGGCCAAGTACGGGGGAGGCAAAAGTGGGTTACAGTTGTGAGTACACAAAACAAGTTTATTCTGAGTTATTTATCAACTATGGTGTGGTTTTCCATAGGAACAACCGCGTGTTAGGATTGGGGACAGCCAACCACACCTGCATGGCAGCAATGTGAAAATTGTGTTGCTGTTTTCTAAACAAGGGTCGAAGTCACTTTAATGGAAAATACGTGCTTTCACCAAACGTGTTAGCTGTGTTAATTCCAGAAAAACAGCGCTCCCTTAGTGAGCCATGTGTGCTCCTTGGAGAACCAGGGAAAGAAAATCAGCAACAGCCGCTGCTGGGACGGGTGGCTTCGTTCAACTCCTGGCCACACCTGAGGACCTGGTCCTTGAAGGAGCCTCGAGAGAGGACCCTGGGCACCCCAGGGAGCTCCACCAGGGTGGGGCCAGGACGCGGGTGCAGAGTGACAGGTGTGGGGGGAAAACCCTCGCCGGAAGGCCAGAGTCTGCCAGGCTTTGGTAGCGCCCAGACGGTGGGATCAGTGCCAGCCACGGGCTGCAGACCCGCCCCCCCTTCTCCCGTTTCTGCACTTTTGTTGCTCCTCCAGGAGGTCACCTATGTCACCTGACTTATCTGACCCTGAACTCGGTGACGTGCGGGCGTTCACGTCGTTCCTGCAGAACCCTTTTTAGACCTGTGAGGCCGGCAGTGCTGTCTTCCCTCCCGCTCCTGACTGGAGTGATTCCTTTTCATTGCCTTGTCAATCAGCTAGTTTGGTCAATTTTTTTAAAAGATTTTATTTATTTATCTTTAGAGAGGGAAGGGAGGGAGAAAGAGAGAGAAACATTAATGTGCGGTTGCTGGGGGCAGTGACCTGTAACCCAGGCATGTGCTCTGACTGGGAATCGAACCTGCGACACTTTGGTTCTCAATCTACTGCGCTACGGCAGCCAGGGCTGGTCAACTTTTGAAATCTTTTCAAAGAATCAACTTTTGGGTTCATAGGGTTCCCCCACTGTTGCTCTATTTCGTTTGTTTCTGCTCTAATAATCATTTCTCGCCTGCCTGCTCGGGGTTTCGTGTGCTCTTCTCTGTCTGACTTCTTACTGCAGAAAGCTGGATGACTGATTTGAGAAACTCCCTCTCCTGCGGGGATGGGTATCTCAGCCGCACACTCCGAGCGCGGCGTCAGCTGCGGCACCCAAGTTCAGTCTACGTCCTCCCTTTCAACCCCGCGTTCGTCCTGCTCTGCGACTCCTGAGCCACGCTCGCTGCTTGTACGGTTTCGTTTCCAGCCAACTGCGAACCCCCCACGGAGACCCCAATTTAACTTCATGGGGGACAGGGAACAAGCTCGGTGCGGATCGCGCAACCTCGGGGAACCGTTGTTAGTCCCGCCCGAGGCCGGGGCGCGCGCTGGCCCCGCAGCCTGCGCCGCGGGTCCCGCCTGCACGTGCTCGAGTCGGGCCCCCGACCTCCGCGGCGGCAGGGACAGGGGCTTCAGCCCCCGGCTGCCTCGACAGCAGGGGTCTGGTCCCCGCTGTGAGGGATGCCCTTCCCGGTCGCCACCGCGACTTCCAGAAGCGCTCCGTACTGGGAACTGGTGACGGCACCACGGCCTCCCGACGGGGGCACGTGGGCACGTGGGTGGAACAACAGCTCGGACGGCAGCCAGAATGCACAAGACGACCTGGGGCGCCCCTCGCCCTCTGACCCCTGACCGCGCGCCAGACTGCCGGGACGGCGACTCTGAGGCCCGCGTTGCATGCCGGGACTCGTAGTTCTCAGAACGACCGCTTTACTCTCCAGGGGTCGTTCGGGCGGCGGCCCGCGTTGCAGGCCGGGACTCGTAGTTCTTAGGACAACCGCCTCAGCGCGGGAGGGGTCAGTAGGTCGGCTGCTCGCGTTGCATGCTAGGACTCGCCGCGTCTAAGGGAGGTCCGCAGTCTGGTGGCGGGCGGTGCATGCCGGGACTCGTAGTTCCCAGGGTGCACACCTCCGCGGGCGAGAGGACAGTAGTCGGCGGCCCGCGTTGCATGCCGGGACTCGCAGCGCCTCCTGGAGACCGCAGTAAGGTAGCGCGCGGTGCACGCTGGGACACACGGTCGGAAAAAAGTCCCCGGGTATCAGCGCGTAAAGGGACCAGTGGGACAGCGGTCCGCGTTGCATGCCGGGACCGTTATTCACAGAGTAAACCGGCGTAGTAACACTATCCCGCCAGATCCAGCCCCACGGGTTGGATCCAGGATGCTTCTGGTACCTATGGCTGGTGCAGCGCCCGTCGGGCCCCGCGTGGGCTTGTGTTTACACACGGGCCTCCTAGCGCATGCACGTGGCGTAACGACGTCACACGCTGTCCCGGAAGTCGGCGCGGACCCGGGTGGCGGGTGGAAGCCGGTGCCGGATTGGGAGTCGCAGCGCAGCCACCGCCGCCGCCTGGGCTGGAGTCGCCGGCCCGCCCGTTCGTCCGCCATGGGCGCCGGACCCTGAGCGCCCGCCCGCCCGCCGCATCTCCGCAGCGACCCTGCCGGCCACGATGGAGGCGCCACCCGCCGACCGCGTTCCCGCCGAGGGTACCCCGCCGGCGGCCGTGGCGGAGGTGCGCTGCCCGGGCCCCGGGCCGCTGCGCCTGCTCGAGTGGAGGGTGGCGTCGGGCACGACTGTGCGCATCGGCTCGGTGCTGGCCGTGTGCGAGGCCGCCTCCTCCGCGCCGCCCGCCGGGCCCGCCCCTGCCCGCGCGGGCTCCGGGAGCTGCGTGCGCGCCGAGCGCAGGCTGAGGTCGGAGCGCGCCGGAGTGGTGCGGGAGCTGTGTGCGCAGCCGGGCCAGGTGGTCGCTCCCGGGTGAGTGTGTGCAGGGGGAGGGCGGACGGGCACCCTGGGCCAGCAGAGGGGCAGGGGCCGGTACTAGGCAGGAAAGGGGCTAGGGGCTGTGCTCCGGGGGAACTTTCCTAGGTGGGACTCCCCAGCCCAGCTGCGTGTTTGCGTTCCTTTTTAAGGGTGCACGGCGGTCATTGCTTGCCAAGTGTCTTTTGAGGTGGGTTGTGTTCGTTTCTTTTTTGTAGTAGGAACCTGTTTCCAAGACACCGCGTTTGTAAGTTAGGAAAACTCGGGGCGACAGCGAGCGCAGGACGCATGAGCGTGCTGCACGCTTGTCATCGCGCTATAAACTCTAGGGGGTGTGCACTTCAGATCCTCGTAAACCTTGTGGAACGCGGTCGTAAAATCCGCTGTTTCTCGTAGTAGTTCAGGAAGGGGATACAGCCGGGCGCGGGTGGTAGTACACCGTCTTAGGAGGGGCCCAGACGCCGGGGCTTAGTGTTAGCCTTGTAAAGGGGCTGTTTTCCTCTGTCGCGGCGAGTTAACCTGTCCGTGCATACTTTGTGTGCTCCTGAGATCGGGTTGAAGTGCGCACAGGTGTGTGTGCCTGAGACGCCTCGATGTTTTTATTGTCAGGAACAGGCGGGGCAGGTGAGCACTCCCGCCTCTGCTTGGAGTGACTGGTGTACAGCTTCTTTCCAGGGGGCCACAGTGCATCCCCGCAGCTGGTTTCTTTCTGTCCACCCCGTCCTTCCTCCTTCGCTGGTGGTGCTGCTGCTCCCTGTGATGTGCTCCCCTCCACCTGGGGCTTGCACTGACTCTCAGCCGCGGAGCCCGTACCCGCCTCAGAAGCTGAGGACCGGGGAGCGATGGGACACGCCCATCCTTCATCCCAGTCCTGATAGTCTTGCCCTGCGCCCACTCTCCCTGCTCGTCCTTTGGAGATGACACTGGGTGCCCACGCCTGCAGCTCAGGCGCCCACGCCTGCCCACTGGGACAGGGCAAGGGGTGCGGCCTGGGGACAGAGCTGGCTTCCTTAGAGGGAGGGGCTCACTGTTGTCCAAGTGACACACTGTGGAATGCTGTCATCGCTGTTCTGGAGTCAGAGCTCAGCTGACTTTTGCTCGGGGCCCAAGGAGCCTGTAAACCCGCCATCCGTGCCTGACGGAGGGGAAGCATGGTCCTGGCGTGTCTCCGTGTAGGAGGCCGCTGAGGTGAGGTGCTGTCCACTCTGCCACTCTGCTCCTCCGTGCAGAGAGGGCCACCGCAGCCCGGGCAGGTGGGTGACGAGACCCGGCCGGTGACTGACTCTGCCACTCACTGTCAGACGGGGGGGGGCGGGGGGGGACAGTGGGGAGGGCGCCTGTATTGAGAGCGAGAGCATTGGAAGGGGGTCTGGGAAGGGGCGGGGGAGAGCCGCAGGTGGGGCGGGTCCTCAGCGCAGGAGCTGGGCGCAGGATTGGAGAAGAGGGTGCAGGTGCTCCTGCGGGGCCACTGAGCCCGGGTAACTGGAAGAAGGGGTGCCCACGAGTGGCTGGGTGTGTGTGGGGAGCTGTGGAGCCACCTGGCAGAGAGGGGCAGCTGGGCCAGCGTCCCAAGAGGGGCCTGAAGGCTGGCTGCGGAGAGCAGAGGTAGGAGGCCTGGTGGCGAGAGCTGAAGAAATTCAGGGACCCCAAGGGGCCAGGCGGGGACCTGGGGCAGAGGCGTCTGGCCACGCTCTGTGGGGCAGGGCGCTTTGAGGAGCGGTCTGGGGTCCGCTGCGGGGCTGGTCTGTCCCTGTTGTCGTCTGTTCAGGGCGGGGAATCGGGGCACTCTCTGTTCAGGTGTTAACTGCGGTTTGGGGGCGGGGGTCCGCCAGGGGGGAGGGACGCCCTGCTGGGGACAGAGCACTCTGGGGCTGGCGGCTTCCGGGACCGGCTGTGAACTCAGGAGGGAAATGGCGACCCCTGTGTGCGTGCGTGCGTGCGTGCGTGCCTGCCTGCCTGCGTAGGAGCTGGAGCTGGGACGGCGGTCTCGGCAGACACGTAGCTGCGTGGCCGCCTCTCTGCCCCACGGACAGACGGATGGGGGAGGGGAGGCGGGCGTCCATTACTTGCCGCTGTTACCACGCCTCATCTGTGCGCACCTTGTCGGTTCTGTGAGCCGTTTGTCCGGAACTGGAGGGAGTGGGGTGGTTTCCACGCCGCCCCTCGCCACCTGCCCCTGCGGGGCGTTCGTCGTCCTGCGCCTGCCTGTGTGGCTCGTCGTGTTTCGGGGAGACAGCTCCCCTTCATTTTATGGCCAGAGAGCTGGGCCCTGGAGGGGGAGACCTGCCGCCCGGGTGTGCAGCGGGCCAGGCATCCCCTCCCCTTGGCATTCTGGGGGGGCGCGCCAGAGCTCCAGGGCCGCCCTTCCTGATGGCTGTGTTCGCCCCGTTCCCAGCGCGGTCCTGGTGCGAGTGGAAGGATGCAGCCACCCAGTCGTCATGAAGGGCTTGTGCGCCGAGTGTGGCCAAGACCTGACTCAGTAAGTCCTGGTCGGGAGAGAACCCGAGTCCCGGGGTGGGGGGGGCGTGGTGCCAAGGAGAGGGGCAGAGGGCACGGGCAGGCTGGGGCCGGCGGCTGCTGGCAGATGCCCTCCCCACACCCCACACAGGAGGCTCAGCGCTCCCGGCACCCGCAGTCGAGGGAGGGGTGCCGCCGGTGGGTTCAGGTGTGTTTCTGACCCCGCTGTGCGTGGGGTGGTGTCCGCCGGCCCGGGCTCCGGGCTGGTGTTCGGGAGCACTCGGGGCAGCTGGGACGTCCCAGGTGGCCGGTCTCCCGTGTGCACCAAGTGGGGACGCGGAGCAGGTGCTGGCAGCACCGCGAGCCCCACGGGAGGGAGTGTGCTCGCCGCGGCTGCCTCACAGCCCCCTCGCTCCCGCAGGCTGCAGAGCAAGAACGGCAGGCAGCATGTGCCGCTGTCCACGGCCACCGTGTCCATGGTGCACAGCGTCCCGGAGCTGATGGTGAGCTCCGAGGTGAGTGCCGCCCGGGGATCCTGGGGTGACCACAGGGGGCGGGAGGGGGGGCGGGCAGGGCTGGGCTCGTCTCCTCCCCGAGAAGGCCCCTGGCCTCTGCTCCCCAGGGCTGGGGGGATGAGCCACGTGACCGGTTGAGGCTGGGGGGCCTGGCCCCCCGGGCTGAGCGTGCAGTGGCTACAGAGCTCCCCGGGGCCCCTGTGCGTCCGCATGCCGGCGGCCCCCACGCCTCAACCGAAGGGGTCTGCGCGGGTGGGGAGCTGGCACTTCACCACCGCTGTTCCTTTCCTGTGTCCCAAGAGCCCCCGAGTCCCTGGCGCCTCGTGTCTCCACGGCCGGGGTCTCCTGGTGGCCGGGTGTGGGCGGAGCTCGCACAGCGGGCTCCAGTGGGGGGGGCGCAGGGGCCACGCTCGGCCTCCTCCCGCGAGCCGGGGGTTGTCTTGCACTGCGAGTGCGCACGCCGCCACGTCTCTCCCGCCGCAGCAAGCGGAGCAGCTGGGCAGGGAGGACCAGCAGCGCCTGCACCGGAACAGGAAGCTGGTGCTCATGGTCGACCTGGACCAGACCCTGATCCACACCACCGAGCAGCACTGCCAGCAGATGTCCAACAAGGTGAGCCTGGCCTTCCACACTCCCCGGGGTCCCCACTCGGGTCGGCAGGAGACACCTCGGCGCGCTCCCGGCTCCTCGACACCCAAGCCCGCCGTGTGCCGGGCCCACGCGAGGCCGTGGTAGCCGGTGGCTGGGGGCTCGGGAGCAGGCCCTGAGGGGAGGGGAGGGGGCGGTCTCACAGTCCCGGGGAACACCTGCCGTGTCGGGGGGCAGCACAGGTGGACACCTGGCCACAGTGGGGGCTGGACGCCCTATGCAGGCTCTCCAGGGCTGGAGGCGTGGGGTGGGTCCCCTGCCTCCTGTGTGTATCTGTGCACGGCGTGGAGCTGCGAGGGCGACTTTCCGGACCTCCCGGAAGGTCTCCAAGCTGCGAGCGGCTGTTTGAGGCCGGTGTCGGCTCCTGCGGCCGTTCTCCACGGAGACGCAGCGTCGCCGAGGCCGTCGTGGTTTGAGCCCCGTGGCCGCTGGACAGTGACGTGCAGACCTCTGCCGGTGCCGGGTTTTTGCTCGTGCAGAGCTCACGGCCCGGTCAGGACAGCGCCGCCGCAAGGCGTCCCGACGGGCGGGGCCCGGCAGCTCGCGGGCGGGGCCCGGCAGCTCGCAGACGGGCGGTGCCTTTGAAGTCCGTCCGGCAGCTCGAACAGGCTGTGACTTGCCGGTTTCTCGGCCGGGGTGGTCCAGGAGGCGGAGGTGCACGGCATCGGCACAGCCGGGCCTCAGCGACTGCTGGTGGCTTCCTCGTGCCCCTGCCACACCCTGCCCGTGGGCTGTCCCTCCGAGGGGCCCCGCACAGCGGGGACGGGGCTTTGCCCACCACCCGGTGCCCACCCACGTGCTGCCCCTGCACCTGGCACTGGTGGCGGCGTCAGGAAGACGCCCCCAGTTCCCAACTCGTGCTTTTGAGGGTGTGTTTGCGGGTCACGGACTCCCTGACTGCTGAGTGGGGAGCTCACAGAGCTCAGACGCCAGAGCCTGCCCACAGAGGAGCCTCATCACGAGCACTTGGACTAGCCCGGACCAGGAAGAGTTGACTGAGCCTGAGGTCGTTTACCTTTTTTCCCTCAGCTGTGGTTCAGAGTCTCGTTCCTGAGAAAATAGCGACCGGCGGGTGGGGAGGGTCGGAGCGCACTCCCTGCGGAGCGCGAGCTCGCCGGCAGGGCGGCGAGCAGGAGCAGGCGCTGCCTCGGGGGCCCTGCCGTCGGCGTTTGGGCGGGGGGGGGGGTGGGGGGGTGGGCGCGTGGGTCTGTGGGTCTGTGGGCGTCCTCGCTGGCCCCTCCGCTGACGCCCCCCCGGCTCCGCAGGGCATCCTGCACTTCCAGCTGGGCCGGGGCGAGCCCATGCTGCACACCCGCCTGCGCCCGCACTGCCGGGAGTTCCTGGAGAAGGTCGCCCGGCTGTACGAGCTGCACGTCTTCACCTTCGGCAGCCGGCTGTACGCGCACACCATCGCAGGTGGGCTCCGGCCCCTGGCCTCCCGGGCGGCCCCTCCCGCCCCGCGTGGGGCCCCCCCCACCCCGCCGCCCCCCTGGGCCAGGCCAGAGGGACGGGCTGCTGTCGCTCACGTCGGGCGGGTGCAGCCGCGGGCCAGTTTGCAGGTCGGTCAGCACCGCGGGGCCCGGGAAAGGGGACCTGTCGCGTGAACGAACCTGAAGGCCGTGTAAGTGATGGGTCTGGGGGCAGGCGCGGAGCCGCGCCGTCCGGTCCGTCTGCGTTTAGCACTCGAGGTGCCGACGACGGCGCCCGTGCTGGGCGTGAGCACTGTGGGGGCTGAGCCTCGACCGGCGTCTCTGCCGGCACTGGGCCGTGTGGCTGCGCTCCTGCTGCATGTGAGGGCAGGAGCCCTGGGCCTGGGGTTGCAGGGCCGCCTCCTGGGGCGCAGGGGCCGACACGAGGCAGCGTGCCTCGCCTGGGGCGGGTGCCCGTGCTTCCCGGGGGGGGGGGGGTGTGCAGCCGAGCCGCGTTGGGGCCAGTGTCTCCGGGACGGCGCCCCAAACCCCCGCTGAGTGAGGAGCGGGCCGCGGGTGGTGGTGGTCTGGCCCGAAAGGGGAGGTGAGGCTGGCGTCCGGGTGTGGCGCTCCGTCCGACGGTGGAGAAACGGGAGCTCCTCGCCGTGCCGTGGGGCCTCCGGCGTCTGGGGCGCCCGTGACCACAGGCGGTCTCTTCCTCGCAGGTTTCCTGGACCCCGAGAAGAAGCTCTTCTCCCACCGGATCCTGTCGAGGGACGAGTGCATCGACCCGTTCTCCAAGACCGGGAACCTCAGGTGCGTCCTTGCTGCCACGCTCCCACGGGCTCCCTGCTCGGGCCGCGGAGAGGCCGCATCTGGGGCGGCAGGGCAGCAGCTCTCTGTTGCTGCTGCCGGGCCTGCTGCTGTCTTTGCCGCTGCCCCCTGGGCACACCTCCCCCCGCCCCCCACCCTCCCAGTGTGTCCTGGCGGCGGCGGTGGGGGCCCAGGGGGCCGGTGCGTGGGAGACGGAACTGGGAGCAGGGCGGGGCGCGGGAAATGGGGTGGCCGTGTGGGCCTCTGGGCGTGGGCGGCTGTCCACTCGGCCACACCTGGCGGTGTGGCATCGGGGGAGCTGGCGTGCCTCGGGGGCCGCGAGCGTGAGCAGCCTGGGTCACGTTCCCACAAGCCCTCCTGCGAGAAGCCCCAGGGCAGTGGGGCAGACCGTCACCCTGCCCGGTGCCTTCTCTGGGGACGGCGTGCCCACCCGGCAGAGGCCCAGGCGGTGTGCGCCTGTTTGCTGCCGCTCGGCTGTGTGCTGGTCACGTGTGCAAGGTCGTCGTGATGCGGGGCGGGTGAGGTGGCTCTGCAGGTGCGCTGGCGGCCCTGACGCACGTTCCCCGCAGAAACCTCTTCCCCTGCGGAGACTCGATGGTGTGCATCATCGACGACCGGGAGGACGTCTGGAAGTTCGCCCCCAACCTGATCACCGTGAAGAAGTACGTCTACTTCCAGGGCACGGGCGACATCCACGCCCCACCCGGGTCCCGGGAGCCTCCGGCGAGGAAGAAAGGTGGGCGGCTGCCTTCCGGGCCCCCCCAGAGCGGGGCGTGCTCCTGTGTCCTGACAGTCCCCGTCGGTGGGGGGAGGGCGCGGCTCTGAGTCCCGGGGTCTGTCCGAGTCTCGGGGTCACGGAGGCTGCGGGGTCGCGTCGGACTGGAAAGCAGGGTGCTGCTTGGTTTCACTTCCGGGTTCCGTTAGCAGTGCTGGCCTGGACGTCTTTGCAGCTCGGGGGTTGAGTCAGGTCTCGGGGTCTGCAGTTTCTGCCGCAGCCCCTGCGGTGGGACTGGGGGTCTGGGCTGCGGGCAAGCGGGGTGCAGCCAGCGCACCCCGCGTTTTCCCGTCTCGGGAATCACGGCGCCCTCTTCTCTCGTGTGCACGTGCAGTGAGCCACCCTCCCAAGGGGGCCGACGCCGCAGAACGCACTCCGCCCGTCAAGGACGCCGAGGACGGGAGGCCAGCTGCGGGGCTGGAGCAGAGCAACGGCCTTGGGAAGCCCTCACGGGAGCTCAACGGGGACGTGGCCTTGCCCGGCCCCGCGGAGGAGAGGGGCCCCCGGCCTGCCACCCGCACCCCCCCGGCCGACGACCGGGGGCCCCCAGCGTGTGCTCAGCAGCAGGGTCGGACCTCGGCGGAGAGGCGGCCCGCCCAGGGCGCGGCGGGCAGCGACCTGGACTTCGACCTGTCCAGCGACAGCGAGGGCAGCGGCGAGTCCGAGGGCCCGTCCTCAGCCGCCTCTGACGGTGAAAGCGGGGAGAAGGGCAGCCAGAGGCGGCCAGAGCCCGCACGGGACGCCGGGCGGGGCGGGCAGCAGGGCGGGCCCGCTGGCCCCGGAGGGGAGCGGCCCGCGGGGGCAAACCACTGTGGGGAGCCCGCGCCCGGCGTGCACCCGGACCTGCAGGAGGAGGGCGAGCGGGACAGCCTCTGCGGGCTGGCGGGCGGCGCGGCGGACCGGAAGGAGGCGGAGACGGAGTCCCAGAACAGCGAGCAGTCCGGCATCACGGTGGGCGAGTCCCTGGACCAGAGCGTGGAGGAGGAGGAGGAGGACGAGGACGAGGACGAGGACGACCACCTGGTGCACCTGGAGGAGATCCTCGCCCGCGTGCACTCCGACTACTACGCCCGGTACGACCGCTACCTGCGCGGGGAGACGCCGGAGGCCCCCGACATCCGGAAGATCGTCCCCGAGCTCAAGAGCCGTGTGCTGGCGGACGTGGCCATCATATTCAGCGGGCTGCACCCCACCAACTTCCCGGTGGAGAAGACGCGGGAGCACTACCACGCCACGGCCCTCGGGGCCAGGATCCTCACCCAGCTGGTGCTGGACCCCGACGCCCCAGACAGGGCCACCCACCTGATTGCTGCCCGGGCCGGTGAGTGCCGGCCGGCCGCGGGGCCTCCCCCGGGGGGACCGGGGGCGGCGGGGGTGGGCCTCCGTGGTCTCTCTCAGGAAGGGGCAGGGCTCCGACTCCATGCGGAATTCTCAGGCGCGTCGTCCTGGGGGTCGCCTGCCGGTGAGACCCTAACGGGGCTGGTTCCGGGCCTGCCCGCCTGGACCCTGCACGCATGGGATGGGGGTGTCCTGGGTGAGGGCGGTGCGTGCGGGCGCTGGGCCCTTGGGCAGCAGGGCCACTGGCCCCTCGTTGCAGGCACGGAGAAGGTGCGGCAGGCCCAGGCCTGCGGGCGGCTGCACGTGGTGAACCCCGACTGGCTGTGGAGCTGCCTGGAGCGCTGGGACAAGGTGGAGGAGCAGCTCTTCCCGCTGAGCGAGGATTACGGCAGGGCGCCCAGGTGAGCCGCTCACGGGCGCGTCCCGCCGGGGCTGTCCCGCCGGTGGGGAGAGGGCGCTGTGCTTCCCGAGCCCACGGGGCTGGCTGTCGGCGGGGGCCCCCGGCTGCAGGCGGGCACGTGAGCCACACGGCCGCTGCAGGGTCGGGTGGGGGCGTGGCCGGGCTGTGGTGAGGGTGCCCGGGTGCCCGTTGCGCCCTCTGTGTTTCTGTTTCCGAGGGCGGCTTGCGCAGGGCGCCCCATCCTCTGTCGGAGTCTGTGTGGGCTGCTAGTGGGGAAGCCCGGGGCGGGCGCGAGAGACCCACAGCGAGCGCGGTCTGTGCTGGGGCCCGCGTCCTGCCCCACTCGGGCGCCAGGCGACCGGTGGTGGGGCGAGGGCTCAGCTCACGGCCCGCTCGGGGCCCCACGTCCACAGTCAGCCCAGCCCCGTCTCATGGCCCGTTCTCGCCCGCAGGGAGGATGGCCCCGCGGCCTTCCCGGACCGGCAGGGCGTGCTCCCGGCTGCCCTGTTCCACCCGACGCCCGTGCACCCCAGGGCCCAGCCCGGCCCCGACGTGCGCATCTACGACGCCAGCACGGGCAAGCTCATCCGGAAGGGCGCGGCCGGGCCCGGGCCCCCCGGCTCCCTGCAGGTCCACGCGGAGCACTCCTCCTTCCGGTGCGTCCCGCTGGGCTTGCCCCGCGAGCTGGGGGGGTCGGGGGGCTCGGGGCTGCGCCCAGTTCCGGTTCTGGATCGGACTTGGCTGCCTGGCTGCGAGCCCTGGCGGCGAGCCCTGGCGGCCAGCACGGAGCCGCCCCCCCACCTCCACGTCCGGCCTCTCCGCGTCTTCTGCCCTGCCAGGGGCCCACACCGAGTCTGGGGCTCGGACTGGGCCAGCGGGGGTGACGGGCGGTGGCGCGGCCGTGAGGCCGACAGTGCTCCCAGCGCCCTCCTGCTCGGACTGAACCTCAGCGCAGCCCCCGCACCGGGGACCGGGGGGCGCAGGGAACGGGGCGGCTGCCCTGTGCAGTCGAAGACCCACACACGGCTCCTGGCTCCCCAGCACGCACGCTGACCCCAGCACCCGCGGGGGACGCTGGGGTCCCCTCTGGAACAGTGCGGGTCAGCAGCTGCAGGTGCTGATTGGAGGGAGTGTGTGTGCCCGTGGCCCACGCCAGTGCACGGGCCGTGCCCGTGTTGTTCAAGGGCCGCTGCGTGCTGCTCTGTCCGGCTCACACAGTCCGGCCCTTGAACAAGATGGCCCGGACCGGCCCGGAGTGGCCACTGGCGGGGCTCCGGTGGCCGGCCTTCTGCTGCAGCAGGGGACGATGCCGTGATTCGCTGCCTTGAGCGTGAGGGGCTGGCGTGTTCCCGGCAGCTGCCGCTCCGTCCCAGACCCTGCGGTCCGGCGCTGCGGGGGGAGGGACGGGCAGGGTGCCGCGCGGTCAGGGCTTCTGTCCCATGCAGGAGCCCGTCGGGGGGGGGGGGGTCTGGGCGTGGGAGGGGGGCAGCGAGGCACAGCCTGGGGGCTGCAGCTCCACAGTGGTTTCTGGAACCCACAGCCGTCAGACGGCCGCTGCGCAGCCTGCGTGAGCGGTGCTTACGTTTCAGACCTGCGCATCACGTCGTTGAAAGGGAAACCGCAGCAGGTGACTTGTGTTAAACCTGAGGAGCACGGGCACGTTGCCTTAGTTGTTTGGGGTATTTAAAAGTCAGGCACGGAAATGGGTTCTGGGTCAGCCTTGCTGCACGCAGGACGGGGCCCTGGCCAGGAGGTGGCGCCCCAGGCTGGGCAGGCCCGCCCCTCCCTGCTCTGGGGCGAGGGCGAGGCAAGTTCAGGGTTCAGGGCGTGAGTAGATGTTCCGCCTCCGAGGACGGCGCCCCGCGGGCTGCACTGGACCCTCACGGGCTGGCTTTCGGTGAGGTGTCCTCCTTTTCCGCACTCGGAAGTGCTCGGTCCCTGCGGTCAGCCACTGCACCGACGTGGTCGTAGGCGTTGCCGCGGAGCCGCCCGTCCTCCCTGGTGCCGCCAGGGAACCGGATTCTCCTGGAGTTCGCGGGCTCTGGGTGCCGTGTGGCGGGTGCTGCGTTCCAGATTGGTGGGGTATCCGCGTCCTGTAAGAAAAGAGGGGTGCCTGTCTTAGCACCCACTGTGCAGTCGGAATGCCCGAGGGCCCTGAGCAGTGGGCCTGGGGGTGCTCTCACGGGCTGTCCCCGTCTGCACGGTCTGGGGGCAGTCCCAGGGAATCCGTGAGTCGAGCTGCCGCCCCCACTGCGTGCCGGAGGGTGGGGCTGTGTCTTATCTCAGGGACACAGAGGGGGCGCTTTTTCTCATTAGAGGTTTTATTTTAAGACGACTGTGGACTCACGGGCAGTGGTGAGAAGGGCCATGGGAAGACCCGGCTGCCCCCAGCTGCCGCCCGGCCTCCCGGCCAGGATGGGGACAGGCGCGTGGGCCGCCCACCCTCCCCCACCCACCCCGGCACCCACAGACCTGTCTCCGTCCCCAGCTCCCAGCATCCGAGGTCCCTTCCTCCTCGTCTCCGTCCTCACTGCTGAGCCTTGCTTTGTGGTGACCACTCGCCACCATGGACACCAGGGTCTGTCCTGCGTGGGGCTGCAGACACCGCCACCCTCCATCCCAGGGGAGCAGCCAGCCGTGGCTGCCACGCCGGGCACTGGGAGTGTGTGTGGTCTCCTTGCGAGGACCTGCCCGGCTGCCCCGGTGGGGGCTGTCTCGTGTCCCCAGCAGCAACTCTGACGCTCGGCGTCTGCCCGGCGTCGGGGTGTCCCCTGCCAGGACACCGGCCCCACGGGTCCAGCCTCACCTCGCAGTCCGCCGGGCGGGCACCTCGTCTGGCTGTGGGGTCTGCTGCCAGCCTTCCCCGCACGCTCTGGTGTCAGGCACAGGCCCGTCACTCCCGTGCGGGCCGAGACTGCCCCACCCGCCCCTTGTCCGTGCACAGTCGCAGTCTCAGCGGAACAGAGGTTCCCGCGCAGACGGGGATGGGGCTGGGCTGTCCCCTTCCTCCCTCGGACCCTCCGCCCGCTGGGCTCGCACCTCTGCGTCTCCGTCTCTGTGTGTGGTCCACCGGGGCTGCCACCCACACCCTGGGACTTGGGGACCGTCAGAGCAGGGGGACCTGGGCCAGCGCTGGGTGTGTCTCGGCTGCGGTCAGGAGACCTTCCCCTCGTGCCCGGAGCGCGCCGTCTCCAGTGGGTGCTGCCCCCCGAGGCCTGTCTGCACCGACGGAGCCGGCCCCCTTCTCTCGGGCCCCTCAGCGGGGAGCGAGGTGCCGGCCCCAGGCGGAGCACCTCGGCCTGGGCCACAGGAGCCGACCACGGACGTGCACCGGGACGTGCAGCCTCACCTGCGCTTTGGGGGTGGGGGCTGTTCCGTCCCCGAACCTCAGCGTGTTCGGGTGTTCTGGGTGTTCTGTCTTACAGCCTGGATAGCACAGAAGTATTTTTCTTTTTTTCTATCTTACTACTTGTTTGACCGTATTTTGAGGATAAGTAACACTTTCTGCTGGTTTCTGGGAAGTTTTCCGTCTTTGCTCTTCCCATTTCCCCTTTGTCAGGAAATGGGTAAAGCCGCACCGGTGCCTGGGAGGGCGGGGGTGGGAGCTGGCTCCCCGCCAGCCCGGCCCACACAGCCCGGGGGAGGAGCAGACTGCATGTATGTGCGTGTGCGTGCGTGTGCACCTGCCCCGGCTCAGGAGTCTGGGTCAGCGCTGGAACGGGGACCTCCAGCGACCTCCCTCACGTGGGCCCTCCACTCTCCTTGCAGAGCTGTCCAGCCGCACCAGCAGCAGATGTTTGGGGAGGAGCCGCCAGGCGCTCCCGACGCCGCGCGGCCGGGCCCTTGTCGGAGGCAGCGGCAGCCCAGCATGTCCGAGACGATGCCGCTGTACACGCTGTGCAAGGAGGACTTGGAGAGCATGGACAAAGAGGTGAGCCGCTCGCCGGCCCAGAGCCCAGCCGCCCGGAGGCCAGCACAAGGCGTGGGACTGAGCTGGGGGCTGGGCGGGGACGCTGCGGGACGGGTGGGGCGTGCGGGGCCGCGCCCGGGGGTGGGGGGCGGCCCTAAGGGCTCGGGGAACTTGGGAGTGGGGCGCAGAGGCAGTGCACGCCGCCTTACCCCTTGGGAAAGCTGGGTCGCCCCGTGTCTGCGGACGCTTCCGTCTCGTGAGAGAGGGTGCAGCGCGGGAAGAGCGGGAAGGTGGGAGGGGGCGCCAGCCCCGGGGGCTGGAATGGGGCCCGAGGGCCGTGTGCCGGGTCTCGCCCCCCCGGGGACAGCGTCCAGCCCCTCCGCCCACCTCCAGGTCAGTCCCCCTGGTTCTGGGGTCGCGTGTCTCACAGGGTCGCTGGAGACGTGTGTGGTGGCAGTGTACGTGTGACCAAGCTCGGGGGGGTTTCAGTCGCTGACTCAGCGAGAGTGAGTTTTGTGTCTCTTCGCACACCTGCTTTCGGATTTCTAAGACTGGAGCCTGTCCGCCTGCGCCCTGTAAAACGACGTGGGGTGAACAGTCCCCCAGACGACTGACTCTCAGGAACGGCGCAGCGGCCGTCTCGTGCGAAGAGCCCGGAAGCTGCCGGCCTCGGGCGCCATCTGCCAGGGGAGCGGGAGTGGGGGCGGGTTCGGGCGGGAGGCCGGCTCCCGTGGCCTCGGTGTCTCTGGCCGGCCGGCCGTGGCCCAAACGCCGACACCGACAGTGAGACCCGGTCCGACCCACAGCAGCTGGTTCAGTCCCGTCTTCTCTGAGGAAAACGAGTGACGCAGTTCAAGGCCTCAGGTGTTTCAGGGCAAAACGCAGCGTCCCAGCGGGAGGCGGGCTCGTCTTAGAGTCGAAACAGCCACGCGCCCGGCGCAGACACCAGGCAGGGCCGGGCCCCTCGCTGTGAGCAGGGGGCACCGTGGGCGCCGCCCTCACCCTCCCCAGGAGGGAGCGGGGGTCAGAGCGTGTTGGGGTGTGAGCGTGAGCGCCTGGGCCCGGCCGGTGCTCGCGGTCGGCGGTGAGTCGGTTTGGAACAGGAGACCGGCGCCACGAGGGGCTTGCGTGGGCACAGTGGGTGCCAGGCGCCCTCCCTTGCACCAGAGCTGGTCCTGGGCTGTCCTGGCCCGTCGTGGGTGGGTGTAGTCCTGTGTCACTCAGAGGGGCTCCTGTGACCGGAGGGCGGGTGTCCACGGCAGGCACCGTGGACAGTGACGCCTGGACCCCCAGTCGAGGGTACCATCCCATGTCAGGTGCCCCAGGCTGTGGCCTCAGCCCTGGCAGTTGTCTGGGTCCCCATGTCCCCCACTCGTTCTCCCATTGGCCGAACGGCCCATGTGCGCCTGTCTGTCACATGGGGGAGGGTTCCCAGGCGAGCCCCAGGGGCCCCGAGTGCAGGAGCTCCCGTCCCATGGGGCAGGGGACACTGCTGCCCAGTGCGTGGGTGCTCCCTCCCATCTGAAGTGCCCGCGTGGGGGCACGTCCCAGCACTCGGGGCCCGGGGGGCCTCCTCGTGGAGGGGTGACCGACCGCCCACTCCATCCACGGCCTGCTCCCCGGCCCCCCCGGGCCTGAATGCTGCAGGGGGCCGAGAGCTGCAGCTGGTCACCACGGCCTGCTCTTCCTGGCGACCGGCCCTGTCCAGGGGCCACCAGAGCCACAGAGCCATGCGGGGACAGAGGTCGCCGCTCTCGCCCACGAAGCTCCAGGGGTCCAGGATCCGCGCTGGGAACCGGGCCCAGTCCAGGTGGCACAGGCCTCGTCTCCCAGAGGAGACCCCCTCGCCGGCCCCGTCGTCGTGGTGACAGGCGGGATCGCTGGGTGTCGCTGCGTTTTCTGTTTACCTTCCTGGGAAAGCAAAACCCCACTACGGTCAGCCGTCCTGCCTGAGCCCACGGGCAGTGGCAGCAGTCCCCTCGCCAGCTGAGTCCTCTGGCGTGGGGTGGCCGGAGTGCCGGCCGCAATCCTGGGTGCCCAGGTTTGGCCGCGCTGGGCCCCGCGCGGGAGCATAGAGCCGCAGCCCATGCGCAGCCCACAGGCTGCGCTGCAGGCGTGTCTGCAGAGTAACAGGAGGGGCCGCGCCGCGGACCTGCCTGCGGGGACACGTGGGCGGGCTCTCCGGGGCGCCGCTGCGTAAGCACTGACCCTCGGCCCCCACAGGTGGACGACATCCTGGGGGAAGGCAGCGACGACAGCGACAGCGAGAAGAAGAAGCCGGAGGAGGAGCAGCAGGAGCAGGAGGGCGGGGCTGCGCCCGGGGAGCCCGCGGCCCCGGCGGCCCCGAGGCGGCCCACGCTGGCGCCCAGGCCGCCCAGCGAGAGGAGCGGGGCCGACGGCCGGGGGCCCAGGTGAGGGGGGGCCCAGGTGAGGGCGGGCCCGCGGGGGCAGGGGCGGCCCCAGGCGCTGGGGGTGAGCGGGGCGCCGCAGGGCACGCGAGCCGTGTTTGGGGGGGGGGGGTCGCGGGCCGGAGCCGCCCTGCCCGCTGTTCTCCCAGGGGCGGGGGCCGGCCGCGTCCTCAGCCTCCGCGCCGGGAGCGTGGCTTCCGGGTGGGGCCTGGGCGGCCCTCCCCTCGGCGCCCCCCCCCTCCAGCCCCCGCTGACGGCCGCGGGGCGCGTGCGCCGGGCCGTCTCAGCGAGTCCTGCTCTTCCAGGGGCCACAAGCGGAAGCTGAGCGAGGAGGACGCGGCCAGCGAGTCCAGCAGGGCGTCCAGCGGCGAGGACGAGGAGGGCAGCAGCTCGGAGGCGGACGAGATGGCCGCGGCGCTGGAGGCGGAGCTCGACCTCGTGTGACCCCCGAGGCCTGGCGCGGACCCACCTCGCCTTCCCGTGCCGGCCCTCTCGTGGGGTCTCCTCCTCCCCGGAAAGACGTGTCTGTTTTGCAGAGCTCCACGCACAGAAACACAGTATTTTGCAGAAGTTAGGGTGTTCTGAGAAGTTTTACTACCAGGAAGCGTGGGCCATGCCAAAGACCTCATCGTGGAGCCCGGCTGCGCGGAACCGGGAGGCGCTGGGGGTGCTCTCCCGCGAGTGCCGCGAGCGCCACGGCTGACGGTTCCGGCTGTGGGCGGGGCCTGGCGGGACCCGGAGGCGCGACAGGAACCCACGGCCTGTACTCCGTCGTCCCTCGGAAGCTCCTGGGTGTGCAGGGGTTTCTGAGAGGCTGGCGTCCACCAGTGGCCAGGCCTGGGGGCCCCACGGCCCCTACCACCCTCAGGGCTCGTTTCTGCGTGGTGCCTGGCCCCTGGCACTGGGCCCGGCCCGGCCATCCGCTCCCGCGCCCCAGACCCGGCGTGAAGTTTTGTACATTTGCTACCCGACGCCCCGCACGGTGGCTCCTCCGTTTAATAAAGTCCTTTTTGTACGCTCTTCCGTCTGGTGCGTTGCCGTGGCGAGTGGGCCCCTCCGCGGTCAGGGAGCTTGCAGGGCAGCCCCGTGCCCAGAGGCCCCGGGCGAAGGACCGCTGTGGGGGTCAGTTCTCAGCCGCCCGTGGCTGTGGGTCCCCCTGTTACTTGGAGAGGCGGTTCGGAGCCTGTGGTGAGGCACCGGGAATGCGGAGGGGTCGCTGCCGATGCGGACCCTTCCATCCGTGGAAACGAGGTGGGAGAACCTGCAGGCGCAGCAGCGCTGGGCACAGGAGCCCCCCCTCCGGCGAGCTGTGGGGCAGGGCCCGGCACACACAGCGCACCAGCCGGGCGTCTGGGCCCCCCGCTGCCCTGGGACCCCTGGGCCCCTCCTCTGTCCCCCTGCGGAGCTCTGGCTGTGGGTTGAGAGCGCAGGAGGCCGGGAGCCCCCGTGGCCTGTGATGCGCCCGGACAGGGCGGCCGCTCCAGGTGATGTCCCAGAGGGTGTGTGGGACGGTGGCCCAGCTGCTGTCCCACGAGGGGGCCCTGCTCCGAGGGGGCCCTGCTCCTCCCCAGCAGCCCCTGTCTCTGGGCATCGAGCCCCCGGGACGCCGAGTGGGACCCTGCTGGTTCCCTGACCTCAGCAAAGGGCTGCTTTTCTCACACGGGAGGAGGCGGCCTGGTGGCTCCACGGTCTGTCTTCAGGGCCAAGTGGGTGTCGTGAGTGTCCAGGCACCTGGCCTGGCCTGGCCCCAGGTGTGCTTCCCCCGTTCTTCCTGCCTCTGCAGAAGCTCCGTCCCCAGGGGGGTGGGGGTGGCTCAGGCACAGCCAGGGGGCGCCAGGAGGAGCCTGAGCTGCAGAGCAGGCCCCGGCCCCTCGAGGCGGGCATCCAGCCCTCCTGAGCACCCTGCCCCCGTTGGTTTTGTAACAGTTCACGTGCGTGGGTGGAGCTGTCCCCCAGCCCCCCAGCAGGACTCTGCTGTCTGCCGTTGGGGCAGCAGAGGCACAGACCACATCCTAGGATGGGCTCCGGACACCCGGGGCACGGCAGCGGAGCGGGGGCAGGCGGAGGCCTCTCCCCCTACGAGTGCACACGCACCACCGGCGGCACAGCTGGGGCTCGGCCGTCCCTGCAGCAGGAGCACGGGAGCCTCCGCGGGACGTGGGGCTCGTGGCGAGCCCCACCAGCCTCTGCAACAGGACGGGGAGAGCCCGCTCACAGGAGCCCTGAGCCGAGGGGCCCCTGGAGGGGGGGAGGTTGTGGGGGTGGGGGGGGTGGCGCAGGTGTGGGAACAAGGACCTGAAGACACAGGCTGGGGTCCAGTTTGCAGGACCCGGCCGCGTTGTCCTGCCATGTCTGCTGGCGACCTTCCCAAGCCCTGGTCCCCAGGCTCGCGGGCCCCAAACACGCCGCCCCCACGCCTGCAGCTGGGAGACATCCTGCTGGCATTTTCCCGGGACCCTCGGGCTGACGGGTCACGTTCTCTCAGAGTGAGACCCTCGAGGAGTGAACACCGAAATATGTGGGAAGAAGTAAAACGTCGCTGTGCTCCTTTGGGTGTTTCCCACAAAGAACACGGCTCCCCAGGGCCCCTCGCCAGGTCGGGGAGTGGGGTGGGTGACACGTGATCCCCCCGTGGGCAGGGCCAGGTCCCAGTTCGGGGCTGCCTGTGCCGGGCATGGAGCCCACTCGCGTCCCCTGTGCCGAGGAGGGCAGGTCGGGCGGCCCACGTACCCCCTCTGCCTCTGCCCCGGGGTCCAGCCCCGGGCCTCACGTGGCGTCTGGGCGCCTCGGCTTGGGAACTCGCAGCCTTTCCTCACGTTGCCTTGCGGATTGGACCCGCCGGGGCACGGCCTGAGCCCGGACGGCCGTCGGGGGGGGCGGGGGCCCGGCTGGGCTGCGATGACGCTCGGGGGCGGGGACGGCCTGTCTTCACACAGAACTCCGGGGAGGGACGAGAACCCAGAACCGTCAGCAGAGGAGCACGGGGAGCGACAGTGAGGGGCTCACGTCCTTCGTTTGGGGAAAATCAGTGCTATTTGAGGCATATCGGAGAGGAAGTGTTTTTTAAATGTGCTGGCGAGGTGGCTTCCACAGGCACGTGTCGTTGGGGTGTCCGTGCCGGCACCAGCACGGCGCACACGTGAGACCCCACCCAGAGCCCGCCGCAGCGACCTGGCACTCTGACAGGCCCCGAGGACGGACCCCCGGGGCGAGCGGCACACAGGCGGGGCTGCGCTCACCCTGTCCACGGGGCCGGGGCACGGGTGCTGGGGAAGGGACCTGCCCCAAAGCGACCGGGCCCGACGGCAGAAACCAGGCCCAGCGCAGGGGCTGGGGGCCCGGTGGCCAGCCGGTCCCGGAGGCTGAAGGCTCTGGCGCACTGACTCAAACACGCTAACTCCCCCGCTGCCTGGGGTCCTCAAACACGCTAACTCCCCACTGCCTGGGGTCCTCAAACACACTAACTCCCCGCTGCCCAGGGTCCTCAAACATGCTAACTCCCCGCTGCCCGGGGTCCGCAGACCCGGAGCTGCCACCCCGCAGGGACACCCACACCCGCCGTGGGAAAGGCCCCGGGACTCTGCAGCCCCCCAGCCCCCAGGGAGGAGGACAGCCCTCAGCTCAGAGCGTAGGGGCCGGCTCAGGCGGCCCCCCAGGCAGTTCTGATCACGGGTTCCTGGGCTCTGAGGATGGACCGCGTCAGGTTTTAAATGGTGAAACCGAGTGCCCAGGTGGGAGGGCGCGGAACGGGGTCGGAGCCTGGGGTTGCGGGAGGGGGGTGGCTGGCGCTGGCAGTCTGGCCACCCAGCACCGGAAGTACGGAGTCCAGAGGGGCTGGGAGCTCAGGGATGCGGGGTGGGGGTGCCCCAGGGCCGTGACGGCCGCCCGGCTGTGGAGAAAGGAAAGGCCGGTGCCCACTGTTGGGACTCGGGTTTGACTGTTCAGACGCGGGTCCGTCCGTCCTGTGTGAGGAGGCCCTCCGTCCTCAGGGGCGGCTGTGGCCTGGGGCCGGGGTGTGGGCCGGGCCCAGACCCCTCTGTGGCCGGGGGGCTGCCCCGGTTTCCGCCCCGCTGCGCCTCCCGGGCCTGTGAGCGGGAGCGTCTCCCCCGTGGTTCACGTGGCCCAGGCCCCTTGTGGCCACAGCAGGCAGCCGCAGGCCCGGGCCGAGCGGCTGGGAAGGCTGTGCCGACCGGGACCCGCCGGGCACAGGCCCTGCTTCTCGCCGGCCCCTCGGAAAGCGGCCGCCAGGTCCCCACCCGCCCAGCTCACCTGGACCAGGAGTCTGGTCTCAGCGGGCACAGGTGAGCCGGCTCACAGGTCTGTGCTGGGATTCGTTCGGCATGGGTGGGCTGGGCTGTGGCATCCGCTGACCTCCGGTGCGAGCCCCCGCCCCCACCCGGCCGGGGTCAGACACGGCCCTGTCACTACCGCGCCAGCGAGGGTAAGAAAACGCAGGACGGGGGTGGATGAGCTTGACTCAGCTGCATCTCCTTCGTGGTCGGTTACGAAAGTCAGTCTCTCATCAGGGCTGTGTGCAGGGCCGCTGCTGCCTTGCTCTCTCGGCGCCCCCTCAAACCCGCCGGCCCCCCCGCACTGGCCCCTGGCAGCCTCAAGGTGAGCAAGCCTTCCTAACCGACACTCGCCTGCTCAGCTGGTCCCTTTATAGCCTCTTAAGAGCCGCTGTTCTTTTCATAGAATCCAATAAATGTCGAGCAGGAGAGACCAGAGATTGGGGCGGGGGGGGGGCACGCTCTGGAACTTTCTCGATGGACCGTGGGCATCGTGTCAGGGGCCGGGGGTGGGGCCCGAGCCCGAGTCTCCGACAGGCTCCCACCACGGTGCCCACCTCCCCTGACTCTGAGGTGGGGGCTCCCTGCCCTGAGAGGCCCCGGAACACCCCCCAGAGCCTGCCACGCGCTGGTTCCACTCGGCTGCTGCCCCCCCCCCCCGTCAGCTCCTGTCAGCCGCCCTTGACCTGCCTCTCTTCTCTCTAAACCCATTACAGACCCAGCTCCTCCCGCACACGCCCCCGAGCACACCTGCACACACGGGCACGCACACACCCTCAGCTGCAGACACGGGCGTGCAGGCGTGCACACGTGCACACACACTCACGCCCCCCACGCCCACCACACGGGTGGGCTGCTGCAAGGCTCGTGGGCAGGGGAAGCCGCACGCCCTGTGCGGCCTCTGTTGGGCCGGCGGTCGGCCACACCCCCCGGACCGGACCACCCGGCTCAAGGCTCCCCCCCCACGTTGTGGGTCTCCTCCGTGGGTGCCCCCAGCCCTGTGCAGGTCCCCAGGCGGAGGCGAGGCGGCTCTGCCCAGGGGAGGAAGCTGGGACCATCCGCCCTCCCCCCGAGGGAGACGAGGGCAGAACTGGTCATGTGCAAACTTAGGTCTGGCAGTTTTAGCTGAAGATGCTTTGTCCTGGAGGGTGACACTCTGGAGGTCTCTGGGCGCACACAGGACGACCCCACCAAGTTCTGTGCCACTGGGGGCACGGACCCCAGGCACAGGCGCCGTGGTATCGATGGCAGCGCTGCCCGCCCGGAAGTTTCCAGATCACACGCAGTCATACCCGGACAGGGCGCGGGGCCGGCTCTGCGGACGGTGCTCTCCCCTGGGTCAGAGTGGTGGACTGAGGCCGGTCTCCCGCCTGACCCGCAGAGACTCTCAAACCAGTGGCCCACCTCCTTCTAAATCCACCCCCCCAGTTCCCTGCTTGGCCAGAGTCCAACGCAGCAGACAAGAAAAATCTAAACCTGGCAGCAGGAGGTGCTTTTTCTCGGTAGCTGCTGTGTCTCCAGCCGCTCCGGCTGCCCAGGCGCCCGGGTGCCCGGCGAGTGAGGGCTTCCCCTCGCCGGGCTGGGTCAGCCTGCAGGGCACGGGGTCTTCTGTCTCTGCCCCGGGCAGCCCCGGGACTTCCCGGCCGTCCCCCAGCAAACCCGGGAGAGTCAGTGACCGAGAAGCCGTTTGAGTCCGGCCCCCGACGGTCCCCAGTTCCTGTGGGACGTCCC